GCATTCCTGACGGCCATTCCTGACAGCCATGACTTGCTTCTCCGGCTCTTCCTGCCCCCGCCCTTCCTCACCGCACTCCCCTGGGCCCTGGGGAAGGAAAGCTTGGTTGGGGATTAGGAGCTGGTCTTGCTGAGGACCTCAGAGAGGAAGGTGGGAGGTGGCTGCCTCTTCACCAGCCCTCCTGGGGCCCTGGTTGATGGCAGCTCTGTCCCCCCACAGGCAGCAGCCCTGTCAGCCAGAGTACATGGAGCGTGAACGCCGGGTCTCCAATGCAGGTGACTTCTGGAGTGGCCCTGGGGGTCGCGGGACCTCCCTGGAGGAAGGGGTGGCCCCCTGGGCAATATAGAGCAGGCCTTTCTCTTTTATCAGCCCCCCTTTTCTGTGTTTGTTTCAGGAGGACCCCCTGCTCCCCCTGCTGGGGGTCCCCCCCCACCTCCAGGACCTCCTCCTCCTCCAGGTCCACCCCCACCCCCAGGTCTGCCCCCCTCAGGGGTCTCAGCTGCAGGGCATGGAGCTGGGGGAGGCCCGCCTCCTGCACCCCCTCTCCCCACAGCACAGGGCCCCAGTGGTGGGGGTACAGGGGCCCCCGGCCTGGCCGCAGCCATTGCTGGAGCCAAACTCAGGAAAGTGAGCAAGGTAAGGACTGGGAGCTGTGGGTGGGGGTGCCAGGCCCTGATGGAATAATGGGCGCAGCGTCACAGGAGGGCCGAGGCCGGGAGGCCTGCCCATAAACTTGCTCCCCTTTTTAATTTCTCCAGCAAGAAGAGGCCTCAGGGGGGCCCTTGGCCCCCAAAGCTGAGAGCGGTCGAAGCACAGGAGGAGGGCTCATGGAAGAGATGAACGCCATGCTGGCCCGGAGGTGAGCCTGAGCCTGGACCCCAAGATCACCCGGGGTTCCAGTTCAGGAGGGCGAAGGGGGGTGATTACTGTTTTGTTTGGTTGGTTGAAACTTCCCCCTTCATTTGCCAGCTTTGCTGGGGATGACCTGGCTGAGATTTGCATTGGCCTCCGGTGGCCTGTAGAATGTTCTAAAACCCAGGGCTCCGGGACCTTAAGATCCTGCCTCCAAAGTCTGGAATCCCAGTGTTCTAAGAGCTCTTCCACCTTGGAATTTTTTTTTTCTTTCAATTTTAGTTCGCTATGGGGTGGGTATGCTTGACAGAGACAGACAGACAGACAGACAGAGACAGACAGAGATCACCCCCTGGGGGATGGCCATACCACAGTCCCTTCTCCTCCAATCTCCTTTTAGGATTTTGGACATTCACGCACATGCACCCCCTATCCTAGAATATTTTAATTCTCAGGTGAGAGAATTGTCGAGACCACTCCCTCCACATGTGGGAGTCCAGTGCCCTTAACCACCACGCCACCTACCGGCCAGAATGCACATTGCTAGAACCCTGGGAGGGGTAACTGTTGGGTGGCTTGGGCGAGACTGAAGCATCTGTTGTTTTCGCCTTTCCCTCCTGCAGAAGGAAAGCCACACTGGTTGGGGAGAAACCCCCAAAGGATGAGTCTGCCAATGTAAGTGAGTGGCTCCTCTGGCCCTGTGCTCTCTAGACTGTACATCAGAGCAGGGAGATTTGGGGGAGAGGGGTGTGGTAGGGTCCGGCTGGGTTTGAACCTGAAGAAAAAATGAGCAGAGGTGTGGCCCTGGCTGACTCATGACTGTTTTTTTTCCCACCAGCAGGAGGAGCCAGAGGCCAGAGTCCCAGCCCCGAGTGGTGAGTGAGAGCCCAACCTAGCTATCGAACTACAAACCCCAGGGTTCCCCATTCTCACCTGTACAGCACCCTCATGACAGTCTCTGCAAGTACTGCTGGGAATTGTAGTCTCATGAGACGGGGTTTTGAACAGAGCCTGATAAGGCTGGGAAAGAAACATTGACTGTGGGTAGTTCTTGTCCCACATCTTTCTGATTTGTTGCCTGTCCCCTAGAATCTGTGCGGAGACCCTGGGAGAAGAACAGCACAACCTTGCCAAGGTAGGCCATTTAATACTGGGCCTGACCCCCAAACAGTCGGGTTTGCCCAGTTTATAGGGAAGAGCATAATTGACCCCGACCATGGGAGGCAGGTTTCCTCTCTAACATCATTTCTGTCCCAAACTACACCAACTGTCCCAGGATGAAGTCATCCTCTTCAGTGACCACTTCCGAGGCACACCCCTCTACGCCCAGCTCGAGTGATGAGTCAGACCTGGAGAGGGTGAAGCAGGTAGCTGGGGAAGGAGGCCGGAGGGGAGGCTGGGAGCTGGAAAGGGGCCTCAGGAAGAGGGAGTCTGGATCCAGCCCGAGAAGCGGAGAGGTTGGATTAGCTGAGACAGGACACAGACCCACCCCACCTCCAGTTCTGTGGCAGGCCTTCCTGAGCCATCCCCGCTCACTCCTGACGAATGCGCAGAATCCCCGTCAGCACCCTGCCCCCACCCCCAGACATCGCCAGTCAGAGCTGGCAGGAGACTGGAGCAGATCTGCCAGCCCGGGGTGCTGGAGGTTCTCCAGTACTCTCCTCCTGGCTCCAAGGATCTGGAATCCTCCCCTAGACTCCTCCAGCCACTTGTGACCTAGCCAGTGACAAGGAGTGAGGGTGGCTCTGGAACCTGTTTCCTCTGGCTCTTCAGTCAATAGGAAAAGTTGTTTTTTTTTTTCCTGCAAGTCAAGTTACCCTCTTGATTGGTTGATTATACCCTGTGGCTTTCAGGAACTTCTGGAAGAGGTGAGGAAGGAATTGCAGAAAGTGAAAGAGGAAATCATTGAAGGTGAGGTGGTTTGGTTTTTAAAAGACACTTAGTGGACCAGCAGGTGGCGTGGACGTTGGGGGACTGCATCCCACATGCCTGGCTTGCGGTTCCAGTCTGACCCGGCTGCCTGGGGAACATGGGGGGCACATGTGCATGTGTGCCCGAGTCCTGAGAGGAGAAGGGAGAAGGAATTGTGGCATGGCCACCTCCCTTGGGAGACGCTGTCTCTTTCTCTCTCTCTCTCTTTCTTTCTGTCTTTGTCTCTCTCCAGCAAGCACACGTGCTCTATAGCTAACTAAAAAATAAAAAATTTAAAAGACACTTATTTTGGAGGCATCCTGTCCCTTAGGAAGAGCCCTGTTTTGGAAGGGGAGGTGGAAGAGGCTCTGGCCCTAAACGCTGCCCCTTGTTTCCTTCCAGCCTTTGTCCAGGAGCTAAGAAAGCGGGGCTCCCCGTGACCACAGGGACCCAGAAGACTCGTGTCTCCTTTCCGCACACCCCGCCTGTCACCCTGCTTTCCCTGCCTCGACTTTACTTGGAATTGGCTGAAGACTACACAGGAATGCATCATCCCCACTCCCTATCCCACTTGGAAAATTCCAAGGGGGTGTGGCTTCCCTGGCACCAAGCCCACACCCATACTGGCTGCTGATTGGCTGGGGAGGCCCCCACCCTTTGCTCCCTTTGGTCCTTCTCCTCTGCCATCCCCTTGGGGCTGGTTCCTCTGCTGGGGATGTAACAGTTAGCCCCACAGTTAGGGGAAGGAAGGAGGGAGTTTCACATTCCCTTGTTCTAGATTCACTTTAACTCTTAATTCCTTCAGATTTTTGGTTGTTTTTTTTTTTTTTTTTTTTTTAACAAAA